TTTTTTTTTTTTTTTTTTTTTTTTTCTCGGCTTCCCTCTGCCTCCTATTTGTTGCACTACTTCGCGCCCCTTCTTCCTGTGTTGCGGCGGTTGCCTGAACGAGCACCTGCTTATACTTCCTACGTGGGCTCGTCTGTGTAGGAGCTCGAGCGGGCTCTCCCTGTCTCATGGGATATTTCCGAGATCGCGCTTGCGCTCGGGCTGGCGCCCTTCAGCTCTGCACAATTTCCGCTGCACTCGTCGCTACTCCCGCGTGTGCGCACGTTTCTGACCGCTGCTTCCTCTTACAAAGATTGCCTGCACAATTTCATGCATTTTTCAAACAATTGCTCGACGTACTCACAGATGACTTCTTTGCAGTTTAAAAAAAAAAACGGAAATGAACGTATCGTGTGGGGAGAACGTGGTTCCTCCGTTTTGGAAATTTTCTTTTTAAGTGCTCTTGTAAAATAGATCGAGTGGGAAAAGATAAAAATTATGGGGGGCTTTTTTTTTTTTTTTTTTTTTTTTTGAAAAAAAAAAGTAGCTAGCTATTTTGCGTGTAAAAAAAAAAAAAAAAAAAGAAGAAAAAGTGCCGCCCCTCCCAAAGAGCTGTTACTCCCTCCTGGGTATGCAATTGTGACATTGAGAATCCCTCATACTCACTCAGTGTGTGCATGACCTGTGTGGAGGATGATATCCAACTGATCAAAACTGTTCACATTTCTTCTTGTTCTTTTTTACACGAGGAAGTGTGTCAGTTGGGAGAATGCACATCCGAGCTGTTGAGCAGTAGAAAGAGTCCGTGCCTTGGACGAAGTCACGCTTTTTTCTCGTTGCTCCCCCTTTGAGGGAGCTAACACCTATCCTTCGTTTTTGCACAAATGGAATAGAAAGCGTTCATCCTGTATTTTTTTATTTTCCACGTACCATCCAAATGACTATAAAAATGGCCATTCCACTCTCTCCCCACCATGCTCATTTTTCGACAGTCATGATGGTAAGAGTGAGCTTGAACTACATACAGTAACTAATTCATAATCATAAGAGTTGGTAGGGTGGAGCCACAAAAACGGGGTTTTAAAAAATGCCACCCTTCAATTTATATACACATGAAAAAAAAACGAGCGCGTGGTTGCGCATTGTGTTTTGCGTGCTCTCCCCGCTTGTATATGAGTGTGGGAGACTCGGAATAACCTCTAACTTAGTTAAGGGAAGTTAAAAAAAAAAAAAAAATTGCCATAGGACGCTTTAAAAATAAGTCGGTACACACACGGGAACATTTCATCAAAGATGAATTAAAAATAAAAGCAAAAATAAATTTACAAGTGTCAAAAATGGGGTTAAAAAATGGGAATAATCATCGGAGCTGCGTCGGTGGTATAGCAGTGTACCATTGCATCGATCTGGTAGGTACCCGCCACGCGGACGACTCGCCGCGTAAGTCCAACGGAGCGTGCATGCCATAGCGCATGGTGCTACCCCCCCCTCTGTCCCCTCACTGCATCACCTCCGTGTTGTGCTTCACCCACTGAATCAAGTTGTGGTTTAAATTATATGACTCAATGTTCTCAAGGAAGATGTCGTAGCAAGGGAATTTTGTCGGCTCATGTAGACCGAATAGGTCGTTACTAAAATTTTTAATATTCAAATGACTTAATGAGTAGGAAGACAGAGTTATGATGTCCAGATCTACCAACCGAAAGAAGGATCGTCTGTACGCATCCAGAGAAAAACCAACAATCTGTTCTTGCGGATAGGCTTGTTTAAATTTGTTAATTTCTAGCAAGATGACATAGAGCGTTTTAGGAAGTAACTCTTTTTTGTACAACCTTGTAAATGCACATAGGATCATATATTCAATAGTGCAGAGATCTCGCAACACTTTTTTAATGTAGTGTCTCCTGATGAACTTGGACTGTACGTTGTTTAATATGTATTGACTTTCCACTTTACTTTTTAATTTAATATTTTCCTTTAACTTCCTTGGACTCATATCCATGTTCATGTCTAGATGGAAATGTCCATCTCGACCTGCATTTTTTCCCTCGTCTGCTAAATCTTGGTGCATATTTCTTTTAACAGGGGTGCAGTCTAACTTGCCTGGTCTTTGTTCTCGAAGGTACTCCAGGTTAGCTTTTTTCTCTTTGGAAAAAATACCTAATTTTTCACTCCCCAATTGACCATGGTCATTAGTGCTGTTACCTCTGCCCTTCATTGGGGAAGCCTCTCTCAGCTGTTCCCCTTCTAAAAAGTGGTTATACTGGGAGGCCTCCCCCTCTGCATGCATATTTACCTCACAATCGATCGAATTTGAGGTATCCTTCTTGAAGTATTCTCCTTCCTGATCAGAAGTTGAGGAAGTATGTTCTGAATGAGCGTCCAGTAAGGCGTTCTTCTGGAATGGATCTTTATGGAGGTTATTATTGATTTCCCCTTCTTGGCCATGCGCATTTCCACTAAGGATATGTTTATATTCACAGATGGACAAAATGGCATCTACACAAGTGTGGTAAATATGCCTGATATCGAGTCCATAATTGATGTCGTAGGACCACTGCTTTAGGAGGAGCTCATCAGCAATCTCCTTCTGCATGGTGGAATTATAAATTTGCAAAAATTTCTGAATCTTAATCAAATCTACGTAGGTAAAATAAACAGAATAATATTTCTTAATGAGATGGAAATCGTCCAAATTGACATACAATATTTTGTACACCAATTTGGATATTTCATCAATGTTCAAAATGGGCGAAATGTGGAGCATCTCAAATGTGAACCTGGATTTTATTCTCTTTTCTAAAGTTTGAGTAATGTCCAATACGTTGGTCAGGCAAATTATGTTAATGCAAATATTTTTTCTGTGTAATAAATCGAATAGAGTATATAAAAGATTTTGCTTAGTCTGTAGACAAAACTTTTCTACATTTTCAATGATGAGAAGAGTTTGTTTTTTTTCATTATTTATCTGGATCAGTAATTTTTCCAATTTGATAATATAATCGTTTAGTAATAAATTCCCTTCTATCTTGGACTCTGTTTCGTCTACATAATTTTGAAGCTGACTCAGAATGGACTTGATGCATTGCACATCGTCTCTGTAGAGGTATGCACTGATACGAATTGTGTATATGCACCTCTGTTCCCTCTCTTCCTCTCTTATTTCTTCGACAATTTTTTTATATTTTTCATTAAACTCTGTGTTTTCATCATCACTGCGGTTCTCCACTTGGGGCAAATGGTTGTGCTCCTTCAACAGTTCTTCGAATTGAATTTTGTTCCGTATGTTTGTGTTTTTTCTTAGGGGAGACAAGTCGTTGTTTTCGAATATATTTTTTATGTTCATGTTGATTTGTTGCGCATTCATTTTGGCTTCACTTTCTTCCCACGTGTGGGGGGTCCCCTGGATAGGCTCATCATCGCATGTGACACTCTCATGGGCGTGTTGTCTGCCCCGTTTGTCGCCACTCCTTTCGCTATTCTTGCCGCTATTCTTGCCGCCACTCCTGTCGCTACTCTTGCTGGCCTTCCTCGGGGTGAAGTTGAAAAGTGGCTCGTCGGAGTGAATCTTAATCTTCTTCCTTACATGCTCCGGAGACGACTCGTAGCTGCAGGTCTCCTCCTTCTGGTACCTCTTCACGGTATACGGCGTCTTCTTGTACAATTTCTTACTCACATTGTCATCGGCTGACAGGAACCCCACGCTCCGTTTGTCGCTTTTCCGATTCATATTTTTTTCTATTTGTAAATATTTGTTAAAGTATTCGATGGCCAAACTTACACACGTGGTTTTTCCGCAGCCCAGCATTCCCGTGACGAGAAAAATTTTGTTCTCCCTGATTTTGTACGACTTGATCAATTTCTTCAGGAGCTCCTTGATGGAGTAGTTGAGGTCCTTGTGCTCCTCCTGGTTAACCTGTCCCTTTGCTTCGCCACCTTTGCTTTGTTTGTTATTTCCACTCTGCTTCCCACCGCAACCCTGCTTGGCGCACCCCTCCTTGGACAGCAAATTTTCCAGCATGATATTCGAGATGGACTCCTCTTCATATTTCTCAAAGTAGTTGCTGTAAAGCCCCCCGTGCAGAGCTAAGTTGGCCTTTATCCGTACGATGTGCTTTATGTACGTCAAAATGTACACACTGTAGAAGCTTTCGCTCTTCTCCTTCTTTCCCTCCTCCACTTTGCCATTTGCATAAATGTTATTATTTCGATATGCCTTAATCTTTACGTTCGCAATATTTTCCAGGGTGAGATCACCCTGCCCGTCTTTCATCATCGGTCACAAAAAAAAAAAACGGCGCTCGATTATATGATCCCTTGGCGGGGGAAAAGTGTAAAAAACAAAAAAAAAAAAAAGAAAGCCTTAAATTTGCAAATACGTAATAATAGTTACCTTCACATTATCTGTTTTCATCCTCCAAAGGAATACAAAAAAAAAAAAAATGAAATTAAAAAAAAAAATCGAAAATTGACAAGTTCGCACAAATGTGCCCTCGTTATATGACACCCAATTATGAATACAAACTGTAGCCATATACACACGTATTTTTTTTTTTTTTTTTTTTTTTTCTCCCGAGCATGTGCCTACGTGACACAGGGGAAAACTTAATTAACATAAGAAATGCAAAAGGCCACACCGATGTAGACGCGAGGTTTGAATAAACGCGCAAGGGTTCGAAGATAATTTCGACCGAGTGCCTTTTTTTTTAAAAGCATCTCCCTTTTAGAGGTGTAAAATTGGAAAACCGGTCACTCTCCCTTTTGCTCACTTTGCACGCAAAATAATACGGCGCTTGAAACGAGCAAATGAAAACAGTGAAAGTAATAGGGTGAAAAAATGGGGAGAAACAATTGCACGCAACAATCGAGTGAATTGAATGAACGAGTTGGCCGCCCCAACCAGGAAACACGACCAACGGACCGTTTACCCCCATGGCATCTTGCTCACTTATTTGAACCCCTACATGCACGAGGACCGGCACACACGCACATAGCCTGCACCATGTCAACATATAAACCAACCACTAACCTCTATTTAATGCGCAAGTTGAATTCGTTCCTTATAAAAATGTAGATGCGGTGTCCCTGTTTGACGCTTCAAAGGGGAGGAAGACTGGACAGAGTGATTAGTATATAAACAGATTGACACAAAAAAAAAAAAAAAAAAAAAAAACAGTCGTTCGATGGGGCATCCTCCCCAAATAGTAGCCCCCTTCAAAGAATAATCATTTGAATTGGCTATTCATTCTCTGGGACGTACAAACGTTACTGTGTGAGGACATAAACACGTCCGCCTACACGCATAGGTACAAACGTTTATCTGTTTACAAATGGGTGCATCCCAATGTACACTTATGCACACATGCAATGTGCCATTGAAGGGGCATGCGTCACGCGCATACTTGTGCGTAGGCACAGCCCCAATTTGTTCCACCTCCTGGCGTTTCCCCCAATAATGAGCGTTTTCTACAAAAGGGAGAATTGCGCCTGGGGGTGCACAAGAAAGGGACAAATGCGAATAATATAAAATGCGCCCATTAAAAAATGTACCCATTAAAAATGCACCTCTGAAAAAGCCCCTTTTGAGAAATCCTCCCACCTGAACATATATACATACTGTGCGGATTAGCGTCGAACTGGTTTTCCTCCTGCATATTTCTCTTTTCTTCACGTCCCCATACTTAAAAACCAGCGTTGCGCCGATACGTGAACATGCGTGATGGTACCTACTTACATATTATGTGATCCCACGCGATTTCGCCCCCATGGCGTGTACATGGAAACGTCGGCGCAAAATTTAATAAACACCGTTACGCAAAGGAGAAAAAAAAAAAAAAAAAAAAAAAAAAAAAAAAAAACTTCCCAAAAAAAAAAAAAAGGAGAAAAAAAAAAAAAAAAAAAAAAAAAAAAAAAAAAAAAAAAAAAAAAAAAAAAAATGAAAAAAAACAAAATGGAATAAAAAAAAAAAAAAAAAAAAAAAAAAAAAAAAAAAAAACAAACTTTTCGCCATATAAAATTAACCATATACCTGTTGATTAGCAATCCCCCCCGTGTACTGATAATCTTCATGGATCCTTATAAAAAACGAAGGCGACGTTACGGTTACAGTGGTGAAAAAAAGTAAGGAGAAACGGGAAAGGGGGATAAATGCCGATTTTCACATTTTTTTACCTGCACAAGCCCGACCGTTCGACACGTGTACCCGTGAGGTCACTCTATGGGCATGTAATCGAGCGATGCTTGTTGTAAGCGGCGGCCTGATCAGTACCCGCAGCAGTACCCACAGCAGCGCAACAAGTGTAGTAGGCGAGCAGTGGTGTTATTATTTTACCCTACACGGCCAAGAACCTGTCGCTTCCCCCCCTGGATTGGGTTCAGTGGCATTTGTGAACTGGGCATCCCAAGTGGAGCGGCGCCAATCACAGTAGCGCTAACGGAAAGGTAGCCAAAAGCTGTGCGGCGACACGACCCGCTTCACAGCTACAAACTTCCCCCGCCTCCGCTCTACAAAATGAGCGACAAAACCAAGGAGGGGAAGAAATCCCCCTCGGAAGATGAGAAGGATAAGGAATTTGAAGAGAAAATAAAAAATATGACCGTAGATGAACGAGTGAAGAACGCCCTAAACCTTAAGCTAGAGGGCAACAATGAATTTAAAAATAAAAAATATGAAGAAGCCATCAGCAAATACAATGAAGGATTGAAGTACATAAAAAAATTAGAAAATAAAAATGAAAAAATGATTGAACTGGAAATCGCCTTTTACCAAAACATGAGCATATGCTATTCGAATGTAGAGAATTATAATGAGGCATATGAGTATGTGAAAAAAGTACTACAACTGGATAAGGACAATGCAAAAGGGTTGTTCCGATTAGGACAAATTGAATTCAACCGATGTAACTTTGACGTTGCCAAGGAGAAGGTACAAGATTTTATTAAAGCACACCCAGACAATATAGAAGCGAAAAAGCTGCTTAAAAATATCCTCATAAAACAAAACGAACACAACAAAAAACAAAAGGAGGCCTACTCCAAAATTTTCGAAAAGGCTTCTGGGCTGTACGATGATAGAGAGAAGGAAATACAAAGAAAGAAAAAGGAAAAATATGAAAATTATTTGAAATCTTGTGCAGAGAAGAATGAAAAGATTCTCGACTTTGACGAGTGGGAAGCTATGGAGAGGGAGAAGCAAAATGAGGAACAGACGGAGAAGCAGAAGCAGGAAGAGGAGAAGAAGCAAAAGCAGAAGGAACAGCAGAAACAAAATAAGGCGGAAAAGAAAAAGTCAAAGTATAATGATAATATGAAGAAAAAAAGTGACTCACTTACATCCAACACAACGAATAACTCGTCCTGCCTAGACATAGACGAGGAAGACCAAAAAATAATCGACGAGACAAAAAAAATGGGCTACTGTTATTTTAAAAAAGATATAAAAGAAGATGATAAAAAATTTTTTGAAAAAAATATGCCTCAAAAAATAGAAAATGGCATTAGTGATGATTACAATTTGTATAGCTCTGAAAATAAAGCCATCTCGTCGTGGAACGCTGCTGGCACTACATATGAAGAAAAGGACATGAGCAAGTGGGCCAAGCAAAAATTAGAGCAGTGCCTTAAAAATATCCATTTTAAAAATACAGAAAAATCAGACTTGCTAAATTTAAATAACCAAAACGAATATAACCTGTTGAATGCAGATTATCCTGAAATCCTACCAATACAATATTTGTACAAAATTGAACTCAAGGAGATAAAAGATCTCAACGTCGATGCACAAATCGTTGTTATACGAGGCACAAAGAGACACATCTTCGAGCTCTCATGTAATTTATACGTAACCCTAAACATTAATATCACTGAATTTCACACACATAAAATTATCGTCCAAATAAATGAACTCTCTAGCGAACTAGAAGCAGGAAAAACATGGAAGGACTACATCACTGTGAAGAAAAATGATAAATTAAAAGTTCCAGATAAATTATTCAACAATATCTACGAGCTTCTCATCGAGAAGGTGGTCAACCAGGTCAAGTACTTCACAGAGGAGTATAGTAAGATGTGATGTCCAGGTGGGGGGAGGGGGGAGGTGGGAGTCGTCCATATCTTTGTCCCCTTCTCCCCCAATGGTGTTACGCAAAAACCATCGTGTTAGGCTTACATCCCCGAAGTTAATTGCACCAGCGAGAATATACACACACAGGTGTTCATTAACCCCCCCCCCCCCCCCCCCCTTCACGTAATTTATAGCGTAGCTGAATTGATTTTATCATTTTCCCCTTCCCCCGCGTTTTTTCCCTTTTTTTTTCCCCCTTTTTTTACGAACATATATTTGACATATATAACTTTTTCTTCTTCTCTCGGCACATTGCCCCGAGGTCTTACTCACAAAAAAGCTTCTCTTAATTGTACAAAAAGAAGAGAGAAAAAAAAAAATATATATATCACCACATCAACACTGTGTGATATAGAGAGCATCGTACAAAAAAATTCCCTCTGCGTCATTATTGGACGTTTTTAAATATAAAGGCCCCTCGATGGGGTTGCCCACCACCGTTGGTAAGTCCGAAATGGAAGTATTAAGAAAAAGGCGTGGTACTAACGAGGTGCAAAAAATAAAAAATTCGCTACGCATGTACGCGTAGACTGCAGCCCGATCCCGTAATGGGGGGGAATACCTTCTTGAGACTCCTTTTTGTGGGAGTGTATTTTTAAATATGTTGAGAAGTGTCAAGCGGTTATTCAAAAAAGAAAAAAAAACAAAATAAAAAAGAAGGAAAGAGGAAAGAGGAAAGAAGCGCCTTGCAAAAGGAGTGTGAACAAACGGGACGCTCACTCAACACCTCAAAACGTGACTTGTATTTGCACAGCCAAGTGGATCGCTCCCTCCTGGTTGATCCTTCCCATTCACCATAAAGCATTAAAATAGGCCAGTACCTGCCATCATATCCCTATGCACAAAAGTGCACACTGTTAAAGTAGCAGTGTGTTCATCAGGTTTCCTGTATAATCGAACAGCTTGTTGTAATGTCCCCCCTTCACCTTGTTACCATCCAAAAAATTATTTCTCTTGGCGAACCCATAAACTCCGGAGATGAGATTATTGAACTTCTCACTGTACTTCTTATCGTACATGGCTTTCTCAAACGTCTCCTTTAGCGCATTTGTCTTTTCGGCTCCCAACTTTCCACTTGATAACATGGTGTCGAGAAGCTTCAGGCTGATGTCGTACTCAGTCTGATTTAGGACAATGTTGTCGTATTGCTTCCTGAAATTGTTGTATGCACTGTGGTGAGTTCCTTGGTCCATCATATTTTTTTTATTGTCTCCTGCAAGTAGCTCGTCGTACAGTATGTCCAAGTGATGGACCTTCCCAGCGGAGTTGACCTTCTGGTTCGGGGCGGCTGCCACGGTTGAAGCGGTTGACACGACAGGCCCAGCTGGCCCAGCTGCTTTTGTGGGCTGTGCAGAATTTTTCAACCCACCCGAAGCCTCCTCCACAGCGAGTTCACTTTTGGGGGAAGAAGCACCTTTACCTTGAACAACTGTCGGATTGGATGAACCTCCTCCAGTCGTTTGTCCTTGTGCATTTGCACCACTCGTCACTTCTGTAACAACCACGTCATTTGTGGGTTTCTGTGGAGGTGATTCATTTACCTTATCTGTTGCACCTGCAGTAACTGCTGGTTCCGTGACTCCTTGGTCGCCTTTACTTGGTCCGCCTCCACTAACGACACCCGTACTCTCCAATGCTTGTTCCTCATTCGCCTTGACGCTTTGTCCGGCGAACTTCTTATCGCTAAGACCCAATTGGCCCTTGTGCCCTGGCGAGGTGTGCCCCGTCGGGGAACGCCCCTTGGCTTCCTTGTCGCTTTTTAAATTTTTGAATTCTTCCAACTTTTTTTTTAAAGTCAAAATTTGATCTTCGGTGATTTTCTTCGACAAATTATCGTCCTTCATTTGAAATTTTAAATTTTCTAATTTCTCTTTTAGTGCTTTGAGCTCATCATTGTAGTTGTTATCAGCATCACCCTTGTGTGTTTTTTTCTTTTCCTTTTTATTATCTTTTCCTAGGGTTGGTCCTGCGCACAGCAGGAGCAGACAGGAGACCAGGACGATTGAGCTCTTCATTGTGATTGAAGGAGTATCGATGGGGGAATTAAAATGGTGGGATAATTTTTGTGACAGGAAAAGGCAACCAAGTATTATTTAAAAGGGTAGCGCTTAATCAGAGCAGCTGAACAAGCGCGGATAACACATCCCTCTTGAGGTGACCAATTTTTGGGTGACGCAAGGAACAAACGAGGGAGAGAGCCAGCTGTGCATACGTGTGTATCCCAAATTTGTTTCAACTTGCAACACGCTCTTTTGTGTGATGCTCAGTGAGAACGTGGGAAAAAAAAAAAAGTTAACGACTGAAAAAAATGCTAATGACAGAATGAGCCAGTGGGCACAATATAATGTATCCGTGCTTCAGGGTATTCATAACCCCTTTGGATTTACACACCTCAATAATTTGAAAAAAAAAAAAAAAAAAGAAAAAAAAATTTCACAGCCAATTTAGCCAAACATATGATAATTATGGTGCCCGTAAAAATTGATGTGTTAAAGGCTGCCCAAACTTGTAAAGTCAGTCGATAAAATATTCCGATTCCTAACCATTACATTTGCACACACGGGAAATTTGAACGTTCGATCAGAAAATATAATGAATAAACCATTCGCCTTAAGTTGGTTTACTCTCCTCAACCTTTTGCAACTAAATGCACATCTCCTGAGCTCGGTTCCTTCCCGCACTCTGCAGTTTATCCATACACCAGAAAATGGGATATACCTGAGCAGTTTTCGCACGCTTTTCCCTTTTTTTTTTTTTTTTTTAAAAAAGGGTAAATGTGTATACCAATATGAGAACATTTTTTACGGTCGGCCATATTTTTCATGACAGGTTCGAACATGTGGACAAACTTTTAATAAGGTGAGCCACATTAATAAGGAGCAAGTTTAATGCACCAGAGAAGGCGGAAAAGAAAAAAAAATGAAAAAAAAAAAACGAAGTAAAACACCGAATAACACGAAATAAAACCAAATGGCGCGGAATAAAAACGGAAGAAAACAAAAAGGAAAAATGCAAAAAAAAAAAAAAAAAAAAAAAAAAAAAAAAA